TATATATAACTTAAGATATATTGTGCTTAGAATGAATTAAAAATTAACTAAAGTGTCTAATTACAAAATACGTAAATTAATATAACGATAATATTCGAAATTCTCATGCATATATATAAATTTTACAAAAGAACTAAAATTGTAAGAGTTGGTTAATATTTATTTTCATTTTTTAATATTTTTGAGTTATCCTATGATCAATAGAAGGTTACATGCATAATTAGTTGATACATTTTTAGAAGCTCATGAACACATATCAATATTTACAATAATCAAAATATCTATAAATTCTAAGTAACTTTATGCTTTAGATTTATTGAATGTAAACTGAAATTTATTTTAAATAATCTTAAAATTGGGAATTCAGATTTGCTTTGATATTTTGATTATGGTTATAATTAGTTTCAAAAACATAAAAACATAAAATTTAAAAGAAAATTTAATATTAAGAAAGCATATAATTTTAATAATGATAAAATATCATATATCTAGCTCATTAAACCACTTGTTAATTATTTGATCAAACAATGTTTATTGGTGAATTTATTTTTAGGTTTTAATATCTCTTAAAAATAAGCACTACACAAAATTGTGATTGTATTTGAAAATAATATTATGTAAGTGAAATATAATTTATAGATAATTCTCTGTAATTGAAAGATATTATAGTCAACTAAATATATGAAAAATAAATAAAAAAATTCAATAATACTAATTATAAACTATTTTAATTACTCTAAAAGTGTATTTTGATGTTATTTAAAAACTATTTTATATGTATTATTGCTATTTTGTGAACTTTTCTTTTTTTTTATGAAATCATATTATATATACATATATTTTTCGTTTTAAATTTCTTTTTATGACTTTATAACTAATTTCCTTTTTATTACATATATTTCTGGAAATTTTGAAAAGGAATATAAATAAAAAAAATAATAATAATATTTTTAACTATTTTAATTCATTAAGGGTATCATTGTAATTAATCATCGTGAAAGTGAATGTAAGAACGACACATAAGAAACTGACTTCTCAAATAATATTATAGAGATTTGTTAATCCAAATGTTGCAGGGATAACTACATTGTGAAATTGTGTCCGTGAAGCTGTTCATCGATGTTGGATATGTTATGTAGTATATTGTCATATGTACAGAAAACGGAATTATATGATGATATAATGAATTTGACCAGTGTTAAAAAAATATATTAGAACTCAACTAAACAAATAAATGGTAATGATAAATGACGTAAAATCCACCCTCAATAAACTATTTATTGTCAGATTACACTATACTATTTTGATACTCTTAATGGTATAATAACATTTATATGTAAGTTCCTGAATTAATTGAACCTCCGGTTTATTTAATTATGTACATTTGAAACTAATTTGTTGAGGCATGATCACCGCTGGTTTTACTGCTTCTCTTTAAATCAGAATATTCATATATATATATCAAACTGGGAGACGAATATTTTACGACGTTAGTAGCTGTTGTCTGATATTAAAATAGGATACGACGTAATGTCGATAATAAAATTTGAGAATCGAAAGGTACAAAAGTATGATTCCCAGGTTTACACCAAATAAAAAGGGTATGATTCCCAGGTTATATTAATACGATGAATAATACTATATATAGTTTTTTATAATTTGTGGGAGACGCTAGCTACTAGCTAGTACACAACGATCAGAAAGTATACTATTCTTATCTTTCAATTAAAAAAAAGAAGAAGAAATTATACTATTCTTATAAAGGTTTCTTCTTATACATTAAAGTAAGCAATGATGAGTCATTATGATAACCTGATTAGAATACACTTTTTCATACTAAAATGAAATAGTTAATTTTCCTTTCGCCATCGAAGTGTTGACTTCTCTAAATGGTGGAGTACATAACTGAAGTTAACTTCTTAAACTATAGATCCTGAACAAAGGAGGTAATTAAGATTAGCTGGTTAAAATAACAAGTTGACTTAATGATTATTCTATCTGTTTTGAAGTTGCCAATTCCGGTTTGTTAAATTTATGATTTCTTATTGGCCCTTTTACGGAAATATATTAGAAAGTTATGCATAATTAATTGGTCTCTGTACACAAATATTGGCTTCTTCTAAATGTCAAAATGAAAGCAAAAAATTGAATAGCAACAAAAGGGTAACTAGGGTTGGCAAAAAAGATGAGCTAACTGTAACCATTTTGCCGGATTCAAGCTCCTGGATATTTTTACTTAAGCTCTAATCATGTATCCTTTAGAATCTTGACTTTTCACTCATCACATCTCTATCCCCTTAAGT